CCTTTGAATCAAATTTATTGGATGATAAATCCATGTGGGGTGACAACCCTTTGAATCAAATTTATTGGATGATAAATCCATGTTGGGTGGCAACCCTCAAATCTAATTTCTTGGATAACAAATCCATTTTGGTGGAAAACCCATAAATCAACTATTGGGAATTTAACCCACGAGAATGAAGCTCACTCAATACTCAACAAGAAAGTCTTTGGGTATTCAACTCACAAGAAATGGATGGGGTGTTCGACCCACTGTCTGGCGATCCTGAAAAAAAAAGGAAAAAGGAAGCCTATAAACGAAAAAATGCAAGTAGAAGAAAATTTACAGTCGTGGGCTCCATGGTGTTGTGCCTTTGCGCCATTCTCAAATATGACACCCTCAAAATTGCTTTATGCAAACGACAATGGGAAGAGTCAAAACAAAAGGAAAGCCACATGATTTATTGGCTATGAAAGTCTGTTTGTTTGACTTAGCAAACAAAGAAAATGGGTTTGCTGCAAGATTTGTTTTGTCAAATTTTCACTCCAGCAAGTCATATGCAAGAAGAAGGAGAAGTAAGGAAGAATTGGCAAATCTAACAAAAGCTAACAAGCCCAAAGCTGTCAGCTACAACAATCTAAATATGCAGAGTTTGAGTCAAAACCCATGCGAACTAAACCAAAAGAAGTGCAGATCCCTCTCAGAGAATCCAAATTATGGAAGAAGGCTTCAAAGTAGAGCAAAGCAGTTCATCGACAAATGCTCAAAAGCATGATGATTTGAGATGCTCCATTCCTTGTAAAACATATTTTGCTGTACAGAATAAAAAAAAGTATTTGGCTGCACACACTACTACAAAAAGGGCAAAAGACGACCAGTAAACAACGACGGTAGATCAAAAAACCGTCGTTGTTTTTTAAAAGACGACGGTAATGGAAACCCATCGTAGAAACATACTTTAAACACCTAAAAAACCGGTACAAGCATAGATATTTTTAAACCACGACGCACCAAATTAAAAAAGCGTCGTCTTATTACAAAGGTATTTTTCAGAGTTAAAATATGAACCTAAAAACAACGACTGCATCTATGAAATCACCGCC